TTACAAGCAGAAGGCCTTCCCTGCCTGCAGTCAGAGAAAGAGGTACAACTGCAGATTGGTCAGACAGATACAACACTGCTGGCTTTGAAGATGGAGAAAAAGGACCACTCGCTAAGGAATGCGGACACCTCCTAGTAACTGGAAAAGACCAGAAAATGGATTCTATCTGAGAGTCTCAAGGAAGGAATGTAGTTCTGCTGACAACTTGATCTTAGCCTGGTGAGATCAGTGTTGGACTTTGGGTCTACAGAATCATAAGGTAACAAATGTATATTATTTTAAGCAGTAAGTTTGTGTTAATTTGTTATATTATATCAGGTCATAGAAAAATAATACAAAGAGAAAGTATGTGAGTTACTCATGAGAGGAGTCATACACAGTGCTCTCTAAATGGTTAATGAATATATATGGTCATTCTATAAGGTAAGATATTAAAAATCATTGAAAGTTAAAAATATCTAAATATCACAATCATAAAACTCTGGGCCACTTTTTTACAATCACTGTATTTAAAGAGATTAGCTATTATCAAAAGCAATGAGAATATAAATAATGGTATTTATTCTGCAGACATTTCTAGAATATTTGCTATATGGTAGACACTATTATAGACACCTTAGAAACATTAAATCATTTGATCTGTTAGCCCTAAAAGAGGTTACTATTGCCATCCCTGTTTTACAGACAAAGAAGATACAGTTTGTGAGATCAAGCCCTGCATGGGGCTCCGTGCTGATAGTGTGGAGCCTGCTTAGGGTTATCTCTCTCTCCCTCTATCTTTGCCTCTCCTCCATTCATGTGCACGTACAAGTGCATGCATCCCCCCTCTCTCAAATAAACTTAAAAAAAAAAAGTTGAATTGTCAACAATAATTATAGCTAGCAATAGCTTACTACATGGAGGCACTGTTCTAAGTATACACATATAGGGTCTGATTTAATCCTCAAGGGTTTTTATTAATTCAGTTTATTGTTAAGTGAGATGCGCAGAGGTTGAGTACTTGTCCAGGGTCATCCAGTAACTGGTAAGGGTAGAATTTGAGTCCAGACATTATGACACGAAATCCTGCACTCATCACTATATCATTAAGCATGCTTAGTAAATCCAGACATTCAGAAATTATTTTTACTATGTTGTAGTACAAAGCATGAAGAGGCTCTGGACCAGACCGTGTAAGTTCAAATCCTCATTTCCCCACTTAATAGCTGTGAGATGAGATGTTAGGCAAGTGACTTCCCTACTCCACAACTGTTTTCCTAATTAAAAATGGAGATAATAATAATACATGTCTCCTAGGGCATTTCTGAGGACTAAATGCGTAAATGTAGAAAAAGTTTAGAGTAGTACCTAGAACATATTACACATCCCATAAAATGTACCTGTTATTATTAACATTATTCTATCCTAGATGCTGAGAATACTGGTACGTAATGGCATATATACCACATGGCCTCAGTTAAGACCTGCAGTAAGCAGAATAATGGTCACCAAAATGTCCATGCCCTAACCCCTGGAACCCATAAACATGCCATCATACAATGGCAAAAGGGACTTGCCCCCTGTAATTAAGGTTATGTACTTTGAGATGGAAAGATTATCCAAGATTATCTAGGTAGCCCAATCTAATTAGATTCTTAAAAGACTGCAATTAGAGAGAAAGCAACTCAAGAAAAGGTAACAGAAATCAGAAGGATGAGAAGCTTCCAAACAAGCAGTGCTGGTTTTGAAGAAGGAGAGAAAGGGCCACAAGCCAAAGAACATGGATAGCTTGTAGAAGCTGGGAACATGCCCTCAGCTGACAGCCAGCAAGGAACCAGGGACCTACCAGAGCAAGGAACTGAATTTGGCCATCCTGAATGAACAAAACACCAAATTCTTCCCTCTACCTTGTAGGAAGAAACACAGACCTGTAGATACACTGATTCTGGCCCAGTGAGATCTGAGTTGACCTATGACTACAGAACTGTATGACCATACATTGGTGTGGTTTTGAGCTGCTAACTTTGTGGTAATTTGTTACAGCAGCAGTAGAAAACATAAGATCTATGCTTAACTTTTTCCTAAAAGACTCAAATATATTGATTTAAGAACTATGTAATATGCTAAAATGGATTTAACTTTTTAAAGTCAGCAATTTTAAACTATGTTAGGGGCATAAATCAATGTCTCCTTTACATTTCTATTATTAAATTCTTTAGAACATAAAAGTTGCTGAAAGGCTAGAAGTCATAAATAAGATGCTATTATAATTCTTCTCACCTTCTCTTCATATTTAAAGAAATATTCTCTTTTTTTCTTCAAGTTCTCATAATTAATGGATGGATTAACTATACTCTGATTTTTTACTGATACGTTTTTAAGCCCAAGGCCAAGTCCTAATAAGACTCTTCATTAACATGTTGGCAGGGATTTATAAATTCTAGGTTTAAACAATTAACATGCTGAATTTACAGAGGTAAAATACTTACATGCCAAATACACTATGCCTGGGTTATCTACTTTTTCACTGTCTCTGAATCGCTACTTATTAGCTCCAAGAACATAAGGGCCAGGTCTGGGTGTTCACCTTGATATGAACACTGATGAGCAATACTCCTGGCCCCCAGCAGGCTTCTGTTAAATAAATGAGTGAAAAACAAATATATTTTTAAAGTACGTATAGAAACCTGGAAATAAAGCTTCCCTGAAACCTCAGCTTACTAGATCCCCGGCAAACCAAAGAAGTATACTTTATCTAGAGGTTAAATGACAAAACTTGGGGCTTAAGCATTTTCAACAAAAACCTCAAATGTTCTACAGTTTCACATCCTTAGTGGGATTCATTAAACATAATTCAAATATCTTGACAGCGTGGTACATGTGTTCTTATCAACAGCTATTGTGATGTTCACATGACAGACATACAGTTCCATGAATTAGAACTTGCTTTCCCACCATGTCATCTATAGTATTCTTTTGGAGGGTTCTCTTTTCCCACCTCCATAAAAATTCAATGCAGTGTTTTCTGCTGGTCTACCTGAGAAGTACAACCTGGCTGCCTCGAACCTTCACAATTGCTAATGAAACCCTTGGTCTTCTTCAAAAAGATTTTCTTATCCCCCAGAACAGCACTATTGAACATAAATATAACACAGGCAATATACGTAATTTTAAATTTTCACACTCTCATTTCAACATGTAATCAGTATCAATTGACATGGTTTACCTCCTTTCCTAATCCCGTGTGCATTTTACACAGACCTCGATTCCACCTCCCTACATTTGCGGTGGCTAGGGGCTACTACATAGGGCAACTGCAGCTCTAGAAGCCTCCCCTCCTATGCCTAAGTGAACTGCATTCCCTATGAACTTGCAGTTCCTACTCTTCCTCATCAGTACTGTGGGTTTCTGTGATGGGAAGGACTTTTTTTTTTTTTTAAATATTTTTTATTTATTTCTAGGAGAGAGAGAGAGAGACAGCGTGAGCAGGGGAGGGTCAGAGAGAGAGGGGGAGTCACAGACTGAAACAGGCTCCAGGCTCCGAGCTGGCAGTCAGCACAGAGCCCGACGCGGGGCTCGAACCCACGAACCGCGAGATCATGACCCAAGCGAAAGTCAGACGCTCAACCGACCAAGCCACCCAGGCGCCCCGGGAAGGACTTTTTTTTTTCCCTTTTAACTCATTCAGGACACCGTCAACGCCTCCTCCTTGGGGCTGTTTTTTCCAAGATTTCCTTAGCGTATGGAAGACCATATTGCAGGCATACTTGATGTTAAATTGTATCCCTTGAATGTAAAAGTGCACTTGAACGGTATTAAAATTCATTAATAAATGTTCTTTTGTTCATGTTTCCTACTGAGTGACTAACTGTTCCACAGAAAAGTTATTTAAGATGAAATGAAAAGCTTTCTTTTAACACTGCTTCTACAGGCAGGATACACTCTCGAACATGTACAGATAGAGCCGTCGGGGGACCGTGTGCTCCGGGGTCGGAGGGGTGAGGCAACAACTACGACGTTCTTAAGACCTACTACGTGCAGGAAGGTTTACCTACCTGTCTTCAGGTAGAGCAAACCCTCCAGCAAACTCTGCTATCCACACCACAGAATCAGTAGGCAGTGGAAATTCACGCAGCTACATAATTGTCTGGTGAAGCTCAAAAAAATACCTCCCCTCAGGCCCCAGTCTTGGAAATTCTGACTCAGTTACTCAGGGGCGGGCGACCTGGCTCGTCAGTGTTTAGTGGAGCTCCTGGAAGATTCAGACGGACCCGGCGCCCAGGGCAGGTTCCCCTCAAGGTGCGAGCGCGTCCAGCCGGCCGGCCGGGCCTCTCGGGCCGCGGCTGCGCAGACCGACGGCCAACCAGACGGGGCTGCCAGCCTTCCCCGCGCTACCCGCCCTCGGCACGCACGCGCCACAAAACTGCCCCAGCCCCGAAAGTGCCGCCCCGCCCCCCGCCGCGGGGCTTCCCCCCCCACCCCCCACCCCCGAGGCCGTCCCGCAGCGAGCCCTCCACCTGGGCTTGCAGAGCCCGACCCCCCACCCCCGAGGCCGTCCCGCAGCGAGCCCTCCACCTGGGCTTGCAGAGCCCGACAGGCGCCGAGGAGCCCCGCGGCCACTCGGCGGCGCTTGTCGGGCGGCACGCCGCGGCGTCCGAGGGCAGGGAAAAATCCTGCCCTCCGAGAGCCCCGGCTTCCCCGCGGCCTCTCGACACAGAGGCCTCTTCACGCGCGCGGCTCCGACCCGGGGCTGACGGGTTCGCGACTGTCCTGCCAATCAGATACGTTTTCCTCCGAATGGCGCGCCGACCAATCACCGCGCGCGGGTGTCTCCTTCGGCTCTTCGGCCCTTCGGCCCTTCGGCCCTTCGGCCCTTCGGGTCGCCGGCGTTCGCCTCGCTGGGCCCTCCCCGGCCTTCCGCGGGGCTGTAAAGCTTAGTTCTCCTTGGTTTAATTTCCTCTTTTTTCTCAGACACTTCCGGGTCCTGCGTCGCTCCGGAAGCCCGCGAGTTCCGGAAGCCTGGGTAATCCAGGTTCTGCCAGAAGTCAGGCTTCTCAGAGAATGTTTCAGAAAAAGTTACGTGGAACCGGGGCGTTTCGCAGACTCGCAAGGTCAGTGTCTGCCGGAGAGAACCGGAGCGCAAACCTGAGGTCTTGGTTCCAGCCGGGAGGGCGTGGAGTTGCACGACCTCGTCTCTGTCGCCCTTAGCTTCAGTTTCCCTGATTGTTGGCTCCCTGTCTTTCGGGAAAAAGCAAATCAAAGGGTGACTTTTGGGAAAAGCAATGAAGCAAGCCCGAGCTCCTAAAAATAATCTTAGAATCGCACCATGAAAAAGAAAAAAGACAAGCACAGCTAGGCTTGAGTTCCTGCGCCTTCCACGAGGTGACTTTCTAAGACACTTCGAAATCTTCCGCTCAGTTGGCGGTGGTGAGATTTAACTCCTTACGAATGGCTTAAGGTTTATGCACTGTTCAAACTGCTTATATCGGATGGCTCATGTAAAGTGTTGTATTTGGTACTAAAGTAAGTTGAGTATGTTTGTTTCTGACATTTTTGGAAGCCTGTGAACTTCGAAGTAATTTTAATTTTCTTGGGGAGGAAGAGCTGTCGCGAATGTTCTTGAGTAATTGCTTGCAATGAGTTTGTTATATATAACGCTGATTTCTGGTAACTGTGAGAATAATTGACATTTTTTCCTGGTACGTAAAGTAGAAGTCATTGTTTCTTTATTTCTTTAGGTCCCATTTTCCAAAACATCACATTTAATGAAAGGGCTTTTCACAAAACCAAGTTGTTGAATGTTCACATCTAACACGTTCTGGTAGCCTGCGATGCCCCTTGAGAATTGTTTAGCTTAACAATTTCAGGTAATTACAGGGAGATGAAACTGTATCCACACTACAATTTGCAGTCTAAACATCTTCCCCTAATGTATTAACTTTAGTTAAACCTGAACAAAATAAACTTGGGATGGCTGACTTCTTTTTCACTTTATCTTCTGTCTGATATGCCCATATTACCAATTACTTGTATCCAGAAATATTAGAGTTTAATGGTCTTGAGTCGGAAGGAGATTGGAAAGAAAAGAGATAATGGAATTACTTACAAAGTCAATAAAAAGAACTTTTATATACACATATTCTATATTACACATATATGTAACATATCATTTCTATATCATATATTACGTATGATATGTTATATATATACATATATATACACATATGTATATGTCCTCCCCCCTTAAAAAGAAAAAAAGGAAGAAAATGGAAGTAACAGGACATAGTAAAGAGAATGTTAGACTAAGTCAAGAGAATTAAACGCTAGTTCTGACTCTGGTTTCGTTTGACCAGCCCTACCTTCTGGCCTTATTCTATTCATTTTTAGAAATTATGGGTATCAGTCAATCCGTGGTTTTAAATCTCTTCTGTAGAAGAATTCCTGTAGAAATTTCCTGGAGCCACGCAGGGGACAGTACAAAGCAAGCCGACTCTCAGCTGTATTTTACAAGAGCAGCTATTTTTATGTGTTCTGTTTGAAAAACAATGTTTCAGTTAAGAAAATTAAATTCAGTTGTATCTTAGAGGAGATGAGCTGCCTTTCCTTCTAGCATTAAGATTCTGTTTCTTAGGGTAATTATTCATTTGTATCCAATGTGCATTCATTCGATTTGTACAGTTTTTTAAATACTAAAAGATAAATTCATGATTAATTCGTTACTAAAAGCCACAAACGTCTGTATTGTCTCATTGTTTAATAAGTACAAATTTCAAATGTAATTCGTCATGATCAGAATCATAATTCTTTATTTTTCTCTCTTCCTCCTACTGTTGTTGTATTTTAATACAAAATTTTTGCTCAATTTTGAAGCTCATCAGACTCTTTGCAATAGGGGAGGGTGGGTATTTTCCACTTTACATATTCAGTACCCAAATCTTAAAGATGTTAACAGTCTTGGCCAACATGACATCACGAGTAAATTTACGTTTTGAGTCCTAGCCCCGTGTTTTCCTCAGAGCATCAAGTAATTTTAAATTGTCTTTCTCTTTTGCACTCCACTGTGCTCAAGTTCCTGTAGCATAAGGAAAATGTGTGGCATATGCACAATCTTGATTTCTGGACAAAAGTTATGCTCTGAATCACTTGCTCCTTTTTTTCCTCCCTGATTATCTTGGGCAACTTAGAAGCAAATTGGATGTCCCCTTTATCTCCTTCCTGTGAAATGATAGCAGTTTCTAAACATTCCATGTTCCTCTTCAGTTCCTTTGGAATGTGGAAGAAACCTCTGGAGAAAAGCTCTGTCCTGCTCCATTTGCCCCATGCAAATACCAGCACCGTCATTTCTCTGCGTGGAAGGGGAGGCCGGGAAAAGACGGGTAGCACACTCTGCCCTTCCATTGTGCACTGATCATCAACTTTTCAACCTTTTACCGTCTATAAAATTAAAACACCCTTTTCTGTATTGCTTTTTACTCTATTTAATATATTTTCCTTTTTTTTCCAGAGCTCTCCCTTCTTAACTGCCTGTCAATAAGGTGAGATAAAATGTCATTCAAGTTGTCTTTCCCCCTTACTATTATTAAAACAAAAAAACCCAAGAACTGAAGAGTAGTTCTGTTTTGATTATGCGTAACCGCTCCCTTCTAGTAATAGATGAATCGGCATTGCCTCTGCTTTGCATGCAGTGTGTGTTCATAACAGGTAAATGAATGTTCGCGCCTCATTTTTTTCACCCACATATTTCCTTTGTTCAGATTTGACATTCAGTCCCTTTGGTTCTCTGTCCACATGTGTAGAGTCAGGGAGAGAGATTGTAGACGAGATGCATCCCAGGCAACACGGGCAACTTTACCACATTCCTTTATTTTCTTTCCCCATTTAACAGTCCTGAGAGCTTGACCGGCAGTCTGGTCTTGCGAATGATCATGAGGAGAAAAAATTTGCTTTGAGCTCTGCGGGATTGAATTTGTTCCAAGTTTACCGCACATCCAGACTACTTACTAACTTCCCTTGTGTGTTCCCCAGTTCCTCTGGTGTTTACCAGAAAGTTACTGATGGTCAGTCTGACCTTAAACAGGTGGTTAATCTTCTTAACCTAACTTTTGTCTTCTTAAAATGGACATGATAGTATTTACTGTGTGATGAGGATTAAATAAGATAAAGAATGTAAAGAAAACATAATGCCTTGCACATAATAATGTATCCCATGATACTTCCTCCTTTTCCATTGCTAACAATACCTCTGTTCGTTTGTGGATATTTCCATATTGTCTTGAATGCCATAAAATATGCAATTAAACGTGTATGCCAGTAACTTGAAAGTCATTTAAAATTCTCTTCTTAGGTTCTAAAGCCTTTTTCTAAATTTATACAGTACTTAAAGATCTAGTTGTTTCATGAGTTTCATGTGGTTCTTTGTTCATCCTTGGATTGTAATTTCTGCCATAGTTCATGCCTGTGCTCTTAATAGTTCTTAGCCTTTAAAATAGCCCTACTTGATGTCGTGTTGTGCTCCTAAAGTGTTTATGTTCATCTTTTAGGCCTGTCACCACCTTGTCAGTAGAAGACACTAATTGAGAGCATGGCTCTGCCCCTTCTAGTTGTGTGATTTTACACAAGTCAGCAAAGCTCTCTCTCTGTGCTTCAGTTTCCTTGTTTTAAAACATAAATGATAAAAGTACTTCTTTGATTCATATTGTAAGGATTAAATGATTTAATATTTAATTTTGCAAAGGATACTTAGCTATGATAGTTCCTTAGTAGAACTTGATAACTGGTAAATGGTATATATTTGCCACAGTTTTAAACTCATAAATTGGTAGGGAGTATCTTCCATAATGCTTTGCTATTTTTTTTCTATGATTATGTCTTTGTCTTACATGTTCTGTTCTGATTTCTCTACTTTCTCTAGCCTTTTTCAAACTCGTGTTCAACATTACCATTTCTACAGTTGGAAATGGCTGTTCTTTTATTTTTTTCTTCCTCTTCTCAGCTTTCCTAAAACAGTTTCTTTGAGGATTCTAGGTAGGTAGACTTTTCATAGTTGATTTTTTTTAATTGATTTTTTATATCTTTTATCTGCTAGAGAGTATCGTGTGGTACAATGACTTGTCCAGAGGCACACAGCCTGTTGATGAACGTGGACTAAAATACAGAACTAATCAGAACCAGTTGAACTCTCTTTCCCCATATTCACTCAAACATCTGCTCTTTATTTTCACAACATGCTTTCTCTCTTAAAGACTCTAAAGTATCAACTTTCTGAAAGAAAAGATTATGATTGCCATGCTTTTCTCTTAAAAATGTATTTGTAAAGCTAGGCCAAGGTATTGGAAATTCTGTTTTAAGGTTTGAAAAAACCAGAGGGAAACTTTTCTGTTAGTTTTAGATACTTGAATAAGTACATTATAAATGTAATAGGGAAAGTGCTTAATTGTGTAAGACTCACTATAGTCTTGAAGATTGTAGTATTTGAGTTGAGTTCCCCTTTCCAAATTTAAAAAATTTATATAAATATATAAATTTTATATATTAAATATATAACATATATTTAATAATTTAATAATTAACTAAATATAATAATATATAAAATATATATTAAATTTATATATTTTACATATTTAATTTTAAATATATATTATATATTTATATATATATTTTTTATATATATACCTCATTTGTTACGACAAGTTACTTATCATTGTTCATCTTTTTGAACAATTTGTGCTATTTTGGAGTTTATCGTTCAGATACACTTTAGAAACATATTGTTGAGTACTCACTACTACTCCCAAAAGAAAAGCCCTGTGTGGATTTTGATGAGGATTACATTTAAGAGGAATTTAGAAGTCTAGTGTCCACAACAGAATTTTAAAATTTCACACGTCTTGTCTGTACCCCAAAGATCACAATTGGGATTTATAGCATTGGCTATCTATAAACTATTGAAACTTCGTTTATATTTGATGAAAGTGAGGAACAATGGAATAGTGACAAGTCATTTAGCAAGCCTGTGGCAGAAGTGGGATTTGAACTTCTTGTTGTTGATTTCTAGGCCTATTCACAGTGCCAGAGGTCGCGGTGTCCTAATGGATCGCAGTCATAGCTTTTTCCCTTTTGCTCATGTTTGAAATGTGCTCTGGGAATCGGTGTCCTGTTAAATCCCTCTTTGATGCATGTCTCATTTATTAGTATTGATTTCAATACAATGGACAGTAAATCTATCTGGCTACACAAAGGAAATAAAATAGTAAGGTGTAGGTTCAAAGCTTACGATCTCCAGTTATAGAAGTTTATTCACATAACCTCATAATATGAAACCATTCTTTTAAAATGTTTTCATACCTAAAAGGAAAAAATGAATGTTATTGTCTCATCCGTTTTGATTATTAGAACCTTTAGGATAGTGTGGCAGTAACATTGTCATACTAAAAATTAGTTGGTTATTCTGGATCTGAAAAAGGATAGCCTAGCAGTGGGTGCATAGATGGTTTGATACCTTAGAGATCACTTGGGAATCACATGTATCTGCTGACAGAGTTTACAGTAAATTTAAATGTAGGATTTTTGTAGGCAGCATGCATTGACAAATATGCCTAATGGTAATACATCTAGTACTGAGAGTCTCGGAACAGGTCAATAATAATGTGTATATTGATAGCAGCAATGTAGGAGATGTTACTTGGTATTATAGCTAAAAATCCATGTGATCCCCTTAATCATAATTACATTAATATTGACAAGCCCTTGACAATACCCACATTATTATTGATAGGTTTCTGTCAATAACATGTTTTAAATAAAATATATTCATTCATAATTTGTACTATACTCAATAAAAGCTCTGAAATATATTGTGGAAACTCTTCCTTCTTTAGTGAGATGCAGTCATTTGTTTTGGTTTTGGAATGTGATATAGATGACAAAATTATATTTGGGGGAATGGAAAGCATAAAAGGAAAGGACAAGTTATTTAAGAGATCCGGGTTCTTTTTTCTTTTCTATGAAAGAAAAGCAGTGTGACATGTCTAGTGATAAAATGTCAGCAGGAGACCTTTTTAATAGTTTTTAGTGCTATATCATTTTGTCTTAAACATATTTATGTGACAGGTTAATCACACTAACCTGTAGATGCTATCCTTTGCCTTGAGCATCTTCTTCACATACTTTTAACATAGTAGTGTCCTTCACTAAACACATATTGTTTAGTGCCAATTATACTTTTAATTATTTTTATAAGTCCCTTTGCATGGCCATAAATGTATCCCCCTGAGTTGGCCTTTCAGATCTTAAACTAGTATAGTTTGGGAAATGGGGATTGGGAAGGGAAAGAGTTATAGAATTGTGTATTAAAAGAATGAGATTTCATGGTACAATAGGAAAAGGTAATGCCTGTTTTTGGCATTTGGAAAAATCAATTTGAATTAAATCTGATGGTGTTTGTTTTAATGCTGAAAAATCCCAGCTTAAAAAAAAAAAGATTGTAATTTTTTTTAACTATTCAAATTGGAGCCTACTTTTGTGAATCTAGATACTAAACTACAAAAACTGATAACATGGGGATTATTAAACCTTACTTGAATTTCTGAAAGTAAGTAGAAGTAGACTGGCTATTAGTTGGGAATGGATGGCAGTCATTATGCCAGAGCCAGGAAGGTACTGGTTTACCAAAAAAGGATTCGTTTTTTGATTCAAAAATGTAAGGGCGCCATAATCTTCTTTTGATTTTGATTACTTCTTACATCACTTTAACTTGTTCAGAAAGTTATTAGCACCTCAGTGAAGGGCCTTGCATTGTTGCAAGAATCCTAGAACTGTTTTCCATGAACTGCAGCCTTCATTTTCTTCAGTCTTACTGAATTCTGCTATCAGATTAATCTTTTAAAAATATATCTTGTTTTGTCTTTTATCTTCAGTGATTATTCACATTTATGAAATCATTGCCATTTCCTTGAGGTGGGCTTTTTGCAGTGGGTTAAGTCTTCAGCCAGTCTCTCCTGCTAGCTTGTTCTGCTTAGTCATAGCAGATGACTTGATTCTTTACCTGTAGGTAACAAGTACAGCCACACCGATGGGAAGTAAATAAAGGATGCAGCTCATGTTGGAACCCATCCCAGTAACTCCCACGTAAACAATGGCCAGGTTTCATGGCTTGCACATTTCTGGGATTTACACAACCTGTTCTTGTGTCTTAAATGCCATTTTTGTTTTGTTTTGTTTTCTGCCTGGAGAGTTTTGTGATCCTTCATAGTGTCTTCACATTTCAAGATTCATTCTTTGCTTCAGAGATCAATGTCTAGTCCTAATCATAATAAACCCTATTTGTTTTAAAATGCTTGAATAAAAGGAAGTTAACTGAGAGTTAAGTTTTTGGATTGATTTCCTGGTACCTAGGAAATTGCCTGGCATTTGGTAAGTGCTCAAAAAATGTTGGTCAAATTGAGCCACTTGTCAGAGAATTAGGATTCACTAAAACACTCTCATTACATTATATTGAGAATAACTTAATGTGACTTTCAGAGGTGTTTATGACATT